ATATTGTAAGTCTTCAGATATGAGACAGAGAGTTGCTAATGTGATAACCCTACATGTGTATTCAAAGATTGCAGAATGGCCTATTCAGTTTAGCCCGCACTCTTCATGCCACTGACCAAATTGGCTAGGGATACCTTGGTGTGTATCCACTAAATGGATAAATCCAACGTTGTGCATTTCTATGGTGCTCTTCCATGAATGAAGCAAAATAAATACCCAGATCAGTTTGCTGATTGCTCCAGATCTATTCCAGAACTCATCCAATTCATCTGGAGAGCACTCAGCAGGGAAAGCATGCCTTCACCTATTCACATAACTACATTTCAGTGAGTCAGACAGATCACCTCAGCATTCATTTGAGTAGACAGTGCAGAGATTAGGCCTCTATATTTGTCCCAGTTTGAAAAGGTCAGCTAGCAGAAATGCAGGAAAGAGACTTGATTGCTAAGTATTGGTCTTGCCTATAAACTTTACAGTCTTGTGCCAAAGAAAAGATATCAAGAATGAGAGGACACACATGCTTACCTTGAGCAACTCAACAGTGTCATTAAGGGGGATGATACATGCTACCTGGACACATTTTCCACAACATTCTCCAGCTTTTACTTGGTACTCATGACCCTGTTTGGTAGAAAATAATAATATTTAACCATCCATGGGATCTGTGCCCACAATGTAATAAGGCAGATTTAAAAAACAAAATAACATGAAAAGAAGGATTCTTACTTACCACTGGGCAAGAGGTATCACATGCAACTTTGGTACATTCCACAATATTTCTCTTGGAGGCTGGGTCTATTTCATCACTGCACACACATGTTTCACAAGGCTTACCAGGAACGGTTGTTCCAGGCTGGGAAAAGTAAAAGAATGGCAGTCTCATTATAAGCTAAACTGTGGACACTCAGCTGGTTAAAAATCATACATCAAAGGCTTCTTAAACACTTCTCACATACAAAGTGTTTTCAATTCTTAGTCTCATTTTTATCTTTACCAAAACTCCAGTGATAGTCCAAAAGGGGATATGAATAGCTGTGGCAATTCTGATTATTGTCACCATGATTATTAATACCTCAGTAAATATGTAATGTGTTAAGGCCAGATGTACATGCTAAATAGCAGTGAGATCTGCAGAAGCAGCAGGTGATAATGCTTATGTCCATGCTGTGAAAGTTTTATTTGTTGGTTTTTTTCAAACCACATTACTGTTAAAGCATAAGAGCAGGTCAGGCTATTTTCTCTTGTTCTTTAAAACTGTGAGTTGCTTTGAGTCCCAATTTTTTTGGGAATGCATAATAATAATAATAATAATAGTCGCCAGTCCTAACCTATACTTTCTGTTGACACTCACTGAGAATTTTGGACCATGTACCTGTCTTTCACACATTACATGATTGCTGTGGGAAATGCAGATGCAACATACATGTAAATGAAATAAATATAGTTGCTCCCTACCTACATTTTGAAGTTACTTTGACACTACAATCCTGAGCATATTTATTTCTGGAAGGTTGTGGATTTCACCTAATTTTTAGATCAATTCTCTATCCTTCCAGTAATAAATCCTAACAAAGAGATGGGACAGCAATGTTGTTGGACTGCAGCTCCCAGCATTCCTCACCACTGGCTATGCTAGCTAGGGTTGCAGTAATTGCAGTCCAACACTATTTAGAGGGTCACACAATTTCCACCCCTGAAGGTGTCCCTTAAAAAAAAAGTTGCAACCCCACTAGTTAAGGTTCAAAAGGAGAGCCACCTACAAATACACTTCCCTTTTCCTACTAAATAGCTCAGGGTTGGGCAACTGTGCCTGATGTTTTTGGACTGTAGCTCCCAGAATCCCACACCATTAGCCATGCTGGCTGGGGTTGATGGGAGTTCTAGGCCAGCAATCTCTGGAGGGCCATATTCATTTGCCCCTGAAATAGTGGATTGACAGGATGGTTTTTAGAAAAGGCATCATGCATGAAACCCTCTGAACTTAATGAAACCTGCTTCTAAGTAAGTGTGCTGAAGATTGGCTTGCAAGAAACCTAATGAATTGTATTCTTGTCAACTGTAGAAAAATCTTTAAAAAGTGGAGTGCACAGAGAAGGAGTCATCAAAATGGACAATGGACATTATAGAAATGTTGTAAGAAAGTCATCATTATAGAAATGTAAGAAAGCTGAAACTCCCCCTGCTTTTTTTTTAAAAAGCAGGGAATAATAATAGCTTGGGCTGCTTTAATGAGCTGCTTTCCATGTGGCACAAGAGATGGCCCATAATCAATCATTTCCCAAAGTTAATGAAGCAGTCATCCCTTTAAAATGGTTATTTAATCATCTGCCCACTTGGAGACTTATATGTAGGTGGTTCAAGTAGGTTAGTATCATTTGCCCTCTTAATGTTACTTGCTGGGGGTGGGGGTGGGGGTGGGGGTGGGGGGAATGAGGAAACCCAGGGTAGTATTTGAATATGACCTCAAGTTAAAATTGCACTCTTCAAAGTTTAAAATTTAGATGTGCATGCCACCAGTACAAAACTCACATACTTGGGAGGTTTATAAAAATGTGCAGAGGTATTGTTAATTCTGTTGCAAAATAAGTGTTTCCTACCAAAACATACTTTGATTGATTGATTAAACCACTTTTGCCTTATATTCTCCCCACCTAAGCAGGGCATAGAGAGCAACGCAGAATAGAGTTGCCTTCCCCAGTTTTTCCAGTGGCAGAATCTCATATACAGAACTCTACGCAAGCAAGGAAGCAAACAAGCTGAACTGGTTTCATTTGCCATCTGAATTAGCTCAAGAACAGGGTCCCCCAGATTTTCCTAGATCATGAATCCTGAATCTGGCTGCTGTTACCAAAATCTGTCAATGATTGAAAAACAAATGGGATGGGGATATGTTTATCTCTGATGTAAGGATACACATATGCACAATGTATATGTAACAGTCATATTCTTACCTTGTAAACTGTTTCATTGACCAGACAGATATTTGGGATTGGTTCTGAAAAGAGAAATAGCTTTTACTTTAGAAATATCCCAGGGAAAAGATATTAAAATGTCCAAATGTTTATACAAAAATATTGCATCTTTTATGTAATCTGTCTATACTGAAATTTTTTTTATTAGGAATATTTATACCCTGCTCTTTAGCCAAAAGGCTCTCAGAGTGGCTTACAAATGGTTAATTAGACATTTCCCTGCCCTCATCTAACTCCAAGGAGAGTGCCATTTTTTTGACCAATGAGCAGGATAGTAATGTAAGGTATAAATCAAATAAACTGGGATAGCAGCATGCATGGTTCTCCAACCCATTCCCAACCACATACTCTCTTCACGTTGACACTGGGAGGTAGATTAGGAGTGGTTGGCTTCAAATCAACCACAGTGCAATCTTATGCACATTGACTCAGAAGTAAGTGTTGTGAGGTTTAGTGAAGCTGAGTGGGTATAGAATAGCAGCATCAATTAATGTTGTGGCTAAGCAGAGGTTTGATTTTCTTTAATCCTGTTCCAGTACCTTAATCAACAAAATGAATAGAACATTTTAACTGTGATGGGTACTGTTCCAGAACACTGTCTTTTCTTTCCAGCATATCTTTTCAGGGCATTGAAGGTATGCTGAAAAAATTGTTTTCACTCTACTTAGATTGTTACATTTGCATTCTCCTAAATTGTTGATTTTATACTTCTCATCTATTTTCAACTCTGTCTCCTCTTTGGAACAGGCTCCCAGAATACTCAGTAATACAAACCAGAAGGTTAGTGCTTACCACATGTGAAGGTAACACAGCAGTCTCCTTCTAAAAGAACTGAAGCTAATTCATATCCAGGTTCGCAAGATTTCTTCTGATTGGAGCAAGCACTAGTATTGCATTCTGTGAGAGAATCAGAATGAAGAAAGAGCTGAATAAGCTACCAATGTTAGTGGTTAGCTAGTACCCCAATATTATAATAGTTTGAGACTAACATATCTCCCTATAATACTAGGACACAATTCCTACCTTGCAAGAACAACAATTAGTAGGTGACACCACATGGGGTGTAACTAACCTTAGGGTCAAGTTGTAAGCATGGCAAAGAATATTAACCAGGACTTGGAAAAGTTATAGTTTGGATTACAACTCCCAGAATCTCCAGGATGGGGAATTTTGGGAGTATCCCCCCTACATTTTTCCAAGATCTAGTTTCACATCCCCTCCATAATGCTAATTACGTTTATAAAATAGTCAGTTCCACTGAGGGGTGAAGCAGATGGGCATGAAGGAGTGGCCTCTGGCTGCTCTGCCTGCAATTGGCCCATGATGAGCTGAGGACCATAGTGATCACACAGCCTACTCTCAAAGCGAGCCTCTGCAGCAGTCCCAAATGAACTGCTGGCAAGAGGGTTTTTTTTACTGCTCCTTTTGCTGGTGGCTTCAGAGCAGCTTCTGGCAACTACACGTCACATGCCCGAAGTGGCCAGAAGCTGCTCTTTTGGCCCATCTGCTTTGGGCCTGAGTTGAAAAGAATCACCAGAACATGAAAGCTACTTTCCAAAAATATTTTTTTCTGTTATTTATTACAGTGATGAAAAAGGAAGCAGTTCCTATTAATCATTATGATGATGGAAAACGTTAATACATTACATAGCATATTGCACATTGTATTTCCATTTGTTACTTCCCTGAAGGAGAAAACTAAGGATTGATAAGATAATACCATAAAATTTGAAAGATTCATGTCAAAATGCCTCTTGAATTGCTTTTGGAAATAACTAGAAACTGTAACTCATTACACCAATGAAGACGTTTTGCTTTTACTTATTATATTCCTTTTAAAATGTAACTTTTTACCACTCTTGTTACCTACCACATAAATAATTATGAGTAAAAATATAATATAGTGTTCCTTCAAGCCATTTCCAACTTATGGTGGCCCAATCACACAGTTTATTTGGTCAGATTTGTTCAGAATGGGGTTCCATTGTCTTCCTCTGAGGTCGAGTGAGGTTGTACATTGGGTTTCTATGGCTGAACAGGGATTTGAACCCTGGTCTCTTGGGGTCCTAGTCCAACACTCAAACCACTGCACCATGCTGTTACTTCCAAGGTCTAGGAATCACTCTCAAGTGTTTGTGGGTAGGATTGCAGCCCAAATATAGTTACAACTTCCTCAGCACATGTTAAACAGTAAGTGAGAGAGAGCCCAGAAAGACTGTGGGCTGCAGCTTCTGTAGATCAAAACTGTGACTTGGCTGTTAATCTGCCTTGGGTAGGAGTCCTTTCATATCATTTGTCAGACATTCTCTCTAATGAGAAAAGCATTACCTCCAACTCATGAAAGTAAAACTTGCCTGGTCAACTACAGGGACATGATATTTAGATATGTATTACTCATGTTAAAATTTAGTAACAGTTTATTTCTCTTGATCCTCCTTGCAGTTCCCACAGTGATGACCAATTTTTTTTCCCCTCCATGTGTTTTAAGAATGGTTTTGGTATGGTTATTTACTATATCAGTAATGAAGTTGGAAGAGTGGTCCTGCTGATGTTTTCCATCAATTATGTGATGACTAAATATCTGTTTTCTTTAAGGAAAGAGTTTTGTCTCCAAGAGGCTGTGCTCTCAGAGATAAAGGGTGCTATATGGGAAAGTGAGAGGTACAGCAACCATAATAATACAAATTGCTTCCTTTTACTAGTGGTTGTGATAGAGTGAATCCCGCCTTAAGGCAGACCTATCATTCTGAATTAAGATTCATCTTTCTTTGCTGACTATGTCATGTCTTATTTCAATTGATTCTATAGATCAAATTGTGTGCAAGTGTAGCAGACAGCAGAATTTGGGCCAAAGCAATCAACTGGTCTTGGCTAGAAAGGAACTGTACATACTGCATTGCACTTCTGGACAGCATGGGTCTTCTGGGGTCAGCACAGGGACAGGGATGAAGCCTTCTTTCTCACAAACAGGTGTTTCTGAGGTTTCACAAGTCAGTGGCTTACACTGAACAGTCAATGACAATGAGTCACAGATACATTCTTGACAGTTGCTCTTCCATTTGCTACCAGGCTGTTAAAAAAAGAAAGTAAAAGCCATGTAATGCATTATTTATCATTTTAGTTTTGAGCCACTATTACTCACTCTAGACCCAAGAAAATTGGGGCAGTTATTGGTTCCTGCTCATGTTTGCAGCCCTGATTATGTTTGGTGTTGACAGTCCACAGTCTATGTAACCATCTCAGGGAACTACTTACCTGTTTGGGCAATCCATCTGGTCCCACGCAGCCTGTAAGGAATGAAGGCAGAAGAATTCATATAAATTCCACAAAAGTTCATATAAATGTAAGCTGTCTCAAACATAAACAGAAGGGATTTCAATTTAAAAAGATAGTGATACCCATTTTGGTCCTCCATGTCTATAATCATGTCTATTTCTGTACAATTTTTTTTACTAATTTAGCCTTTTATTATTATATTTTATTTTATTTTGCCAGCAACTGTTGATGTTGCTAATTCTATTACAAACTGTTTTTCTCCGTCTTCTCGCCCCATCACCATTCTCCCAACTGCTGCCACACAAAATCAACAGCAGCTAGAAGTGGGAAAATCCATTTTTTGTTTCTGAAAAGTACAGTTTGGTAGTAAAATGAGGTCCACTGGGGAGGGCATACTTTGTTTCAGAGGAGTACTGTACTTCCTAGTGGTTTTACTTGTGCCTTGTTTTAATGCAGAACGGGGGGGGGGGGGGGGGGGGGGGGGGGGGGGGGGGGAGGAGGAGGAGGAGGAGGAGGAGAACACTGCCTACAATTCAGTGCTGCCTTCTGGAATTTGGATGTTCAGGCAGGGATTGCATAATCCTCAAAAACAGCTGTGTGTGTGTGGTGGTGGGGGGATAGCAGCCTATGTCCATCGATGCAGAAGACCAAAAGAGAAATTGTTCAAATATTTATGCTGCTTTATATCCCCCCTCCCTCAAGGTCAGTAAGCCAGTTATACAAGCAAGGTCACCTCAAGGAGAAATCCTGTGTAATTCCATTTACATTTTTTAATTCCTGACCCCCACCCTCAGTTTCTGAGCAATGGAATCAAAGAGTAAAAACAGCAACACTGGGTGTTTTACCAGTTTACCAGTTCTCAGTCTGTATTTCACACTATGCTTTCATTACTAGGGTGAGAGTGGAGTCATAGTTACACAAAAATCCAGAGAGGCAAGGAAATGGAGCCTGGCATGACACCTCAGCTCCCTACTATATGTGCTGTAGCCTGCTTGTCATTAAAAAAATATATTGAGAGGATGAAATTATAAAGGTACCAGTCAGTGGTATAGAGATTATGACTATATTGTCTAGACGCCAGAAAGTCTCGGCCCCATGCTCCCTTATGTGAACTGAAGGGTACAGTGGAAGTACATTTCCATGGCTGGAGAAGGAGACCAGTGGTTGGGATGGGATCTTTGCTGCAGGATGTCCACTGAGTCATCCGCAGACAGCTCCCTTGCAATTGCTCTTGTGCTGGCAGTGTGGGAGCCAAAGCAGGATGAGACAGAGTTATATGGAGACCACTAATCTGCAGGACTCCAAGCCTCCCCACTCCCCTTTCATACCCCTAGTCAGGTCCTGATAGTTATGCTAGCTTTGGAGCTGATGTAGATAATTCTCTCTCATTATGCTCAACAGGATATGGAAGAGAAGAAAGGAGAAACCAAAACATTTCTCCACTGCTCCTGCTCCTTAGTTTGCTCTACTTGGCTTGTTGCTGCTGCTGCTGCATGCCTTCAAGTCATTTCCAACTTATGGTGACCCTAAGGCAGACTTATCATGGGGTTTTCTGGGTAAGATTTGTTCACAAGGGGTTTGCCTTCACATTCCTCTGAGGCTGAGAAAGTATAACTTGCCTAAAGTCACCCAGTTGGTATCCATGTTCAAACAGGGATTTGAACCCTGGTCCATCACTCAAACCATTACACTACACTGGCTCTGTTTGGTTGCCAGATATGAACAAAGATTTTACATAGCCCCTTTATTGCCGTACCTGTCTATAGTTTGTTATGATGACTAAATCTGTTATGACTGTTTACTTATGAAATAAGAAACTTACCACACTCTGAGACACAGATGTCAGTGTATGAATTGAACAGAATTTTTCCCTCTGAGCATATACATCCTTCAGAAACATGGGCATTATCATTTTTAGTTTGTCTGCAAGGCAAACAGGAGTGGATATAAATATTTCTAATTTTGTAGTCAAGCATTTACTCATATTTTACTTATATATGCAGTGATCAGAAGAAAAATTGGCACATGCATAAAAAAGCAAACAATCATTTAAGAGTATTCAATTTATGAATAGTTTTGATTAGCATGATAAACAGCTTGTCTCTGCTACTATAGAAGACACAGCAAAGGCAACCTGTTAATTTTACCCATTTGTATTTAGGGTGTTCATTGGGTGGGAGTGGGGGTAGAAATCCTATCAGTGCAATAATATGTGTGTCTACTCCTATATATACTTCCATTGGTTTAGTGACATGGGACCATTTTGTCCTTCCATTCTAGTGCAGATCTCTTCTAATTATGAGACATATATCACTGGAACAGTGAAAAGTGTCCAAGAGGTATTATTTGCATGATCAGTAGCTTCCATCTATTAAGGAATACTCTGGAATAGTGGTGTTAGAAACAAGACCCAGGTCCTATAAATGTTTATTGCAGCATAAGCATATGCCAGTGTACTTATAACAAGCAATTAAGACTTCATCTGCTCATTCATTTTAATTCACAGAACATTCCTGTATTTACTAAACAACTATCCACTGCTGCCATACTCAGGAAATAAAAACACCATCTAAGGATAAGCACAGCCATTAAAACTAATTAGTAAAGACCTAAGTATAAAGTTTATTCTTACCCATCACTGCAAGTGGCAGCAGGAACAGGACCACAGGCACTGTATACCTTGTCTTTGGGGCAATAGTATGCTGTAGAGAAGATAATAAATTATTTCATTAAGAAGCAAAGGCAAAGACTTCTGCAGGCAGAACTATACCCTACATGTAACTCTATAGGACATTTTTACTCAAGGGCTTTTAAAACAACAAGAAGTAAATCAGTCATGGCAGCTTTAAACTGAATCTAGTTGGGGAGGAAATATTTACTTAACTGTTCCAAATTGTACTTTTGCCCAATCAACATCTCTACCCCTAAAAGGGAAAGAGATACAAGGCACAGTGTAATTCCATCTTGATTGCGCACTGTTGGCTTTTGATGACTGAAGCCTCTTCTATATTGGTCTAAAGGAGTCCTTGCAATGCAACCCTTTGGGTCTGAGAGTATTTTGCCTCTGCACCTATTTGTTACATTTCTGTGTGTGTGTAATGATTTCTGTGTTTATGTTAGAGCTCTTCAAGATATTTTATAAAACTGCAGCATGATTTGCTTAGTGATCCTATGGTTTGAAGGGCAATTTTTCTCCTCTCTGAATCTAATTTTTAAAGTGTTATAAAGCAAACATGACATTTCACTGATGCATGATAACACTATAATAATTTTAAAAATTAAAAGAAGAGAAAGGAGGAGAATAGAAGGAAACATATTGTTCCAATAGGTCTCATGATTAAAAAACAAACTCACCTGAGGTGGGAATAAAATACTATGAGTGGTGTCAGGAATTTCCAGAAAATCATCAAGGACAAGAGAAATATTGTTTGAATATTTTTTAAAAACAACCCAGAAAAACTAAAGACCAAAAGAACAAATATTGCAACTTCCAGACATATTTGCCACATCTGGAAGAACCCTCAGATTTAAATATTTATGAATATTCATGAACTCAGACCTGAATGGAATGCAACTCTACAAACTACATGATTTCACAAGGGGAAAATCTGCCTGAAAATCTGCTCAGAGTGTTGGGGGACCCTGCTAAACAGTGTGTGAGGTAGCATTAAGGTCTGTAAGTTAAAGAAGAATGATACCCCACAGGATGTAGGCTACTCACTTCCTCTAATGGAAGGCTCTATTGCATCCTTTCACCAATGTCCTTGCATTGCTGAAGGATCAGTTCTGGATTCAACCCATATTCTTCTGTTCCACTGAGTTCTT